ACTTGCTTGGTTTTGAATCAGCTTCATGCAGTTGGTGAGTTTCCCTTGAGTCTCCTTCTTGCTGTTGAGGTAGATTGTCCACGTGTATCTTGAGTAATCATCAACTACCACCAGGACATATTTCTTTCCACTTAGACTTATTGGTGTAACAGGGCCAAATAAGTCCATGTGAATAAGACTTAATATCCTTGTAGTTGAGTGTGCTGATTTTTCCTTGAAGGTGGACTTGACTTGCTTTCCTTTTTGGCAAGCATCACAAATACTTTCCTTTCTGAATGCAGCCATAGAAGGTTAGTGTCACCTTTGCTGATTAGACATGCTTCTTTGACATCGCTCCATATCACTTCATAGATGTTTCTGATTCTCTTCCCAGTGAGAATGACTTCATTTATGGAGATGTTCTTGAGAGATGCCATGTCCTTGCAGAATTCCAAGAAGTAACCTTTATCACAAAACTGACTTATGCTAAGAAGGTTATAGTTGAGGCCTTCAACATAAGATACAGCTTGAATGGTTAGTCCCTTGTACATCAGATTTCCTAGCCCTTTAGTAAGGCCGAAATCATTGCTTCCTCCAAAAGTAACTCTTGGACCATCATAGGGAATTAGATTGCTCAAAAGGCTCGCATCACCCATCATGTCTCTTGAACAGCCACTATCTAAGTACCAGACACCTGGGTACTTAGCGGCTTCCTGCATTAGGAGGAGGAAGATTTTGGTACCCAATTAAGTTTGGGTCCGGAGTAGTTAATGGTGTGTGTCCCTACATCAAGTTTGAAGTTGCAGGGAATTTTCCTTGCAGCTCTAAACTTGTTGGGATTGTAATCATAGTTATAGGCATAAAACTTCCTACGTGCAGGAGGTGCTATTTCATGTTTCCTCCTAGCAAACCTAGGTTGATAAGACCTATAGTTTTGTCTAGGTTGTGCATAGTGTGTCCTGTGTCGGTTATAAGCATACTTAGGTGGCACAAATAGCTTCTGGGGTGGAGGGTGACTATATCTTGGCATAGTTCTCCACTCAGAATTTCTTGGAAAACTCCTGTCTACCCCATAATGAGTATAGCCTCGTGTATA